TCCCCTCCACATTTAGAATCGACATCACGCGTTGAGGAGTTATTTGGCTGCTGCTATGAACGTCCGCGTGATGGTGACGATGACGATGAGCCCACTTCGTTGAACTGCTATCATTTGTGATAGGGGCCGTCCATAAATGACGTCACGCACCTGGGGGGGGGGGTCAGACATTTGTGACGATGTGTGACGAGGTAGGGGGGGGGGGTTGAGAAATGTGACGTCACATCAAAATATGCAACTTTAAATAAATATAGACAACACGTTCTACTTAATTAAATATATATTATTTTTATAAATGTTTTCTCCTACAAAATCAGAGTGCAGCGCCACATTAAATAGTTTAAAGCGATTTGAAGCATGTTTTATCCAAACGGAAATATGGTTTTGGGGGGGGGGCAGAGCTTCGTGACGTCATATTTGAGGGGGGGGGTCTGACTTTTTGTGACGCCGTGTGACGAAGGGGGGGGGGTGTCAAAAATCGTCTAAAATCGCGTGACGTCATTTATGGACGGCCCCATAGCCGCGTCTCTGCTGAACACAGAGAGCCCCGCTCGCAGCTCGGTGGGGCTTCACCTGGCGAAGTAAACCGGCTTCAGCTGCAGCCAGCGGCGCTCCTGTAGAGGAGACGCGGCCTCGGCAGCGTGGCTGGCGGAGGAGGAGGCCGGGCTCCTCGCGGTGGCGATCCGCGCCGCGTTTCAAGAGGTTCGCGGCTCGAACCCGGGCAGCCAGGCCACCCCGGTTAATGCCGCGGCGTCACCTGGAACTTCCCTCCGCGTCGGCGTCGTTCGCAGCGAGAGCCGCACGAGGCCTGCCGTGAGGCGACACGCGGCAGCCCGGCAGTGTTACCATCGCCAGTGAACACAATTAGACTACCAGGTTACCATCACCAATGAACACAATTTGACTACCAGGTTACCATCACCAATGAACACAATTTGACTCCCAGGTTACCATCACAAATGAACACAATTTGACTACCAGGTTACCATCACCAATGAACACAATTTGACTACCAGGTTACCATCACCAATGAACACAATCTGACTACCAGGTTACCATCACAAATGAACACAATTTGACTACCAGGTTACCATCGCCAATGAACACAATTTGACCACCAGGTTACCATCGCCAATGAACACAATTTGACTACCAGGTTACCATCACCAATGAACACAATTTGACTCCCAGGTTACCATCACAAATGAACACAATTTGACTACCAGGTTACCATCACCAATGAACACAATTTGACCACCAGGTTACCATCACAAATGAACACAATTTGACTACCAGGTTACCATCACCAATGAACACAATTTGACTACCAGGTTACCATCGCCAATGAACACAATTTGACCACCAGGTTACCATCACAAATGAAAACAATTTGACTACCAGGTTACCATCACCAATGAACACAATTTGACTACCAGGTTACCATCACCAATGAACACAATTTGACCACCAGGTTACCATCACAAATGAACACAATTTGACTACCAGGTTACCATCACCAATGAACACAATTTGACTACCAGGTTACCATCACCAATGAACACAATTTGACTACCAGGTTACCATCACAAATGAACACAATTTGACTACCAGGTTACCATCGCCAATGAACACAATTTGACCTCCAGGTTACCATCGCCAATGAACACAATTTGACCTCCAGGTTACCATCGCCAATGAACACAATTTGACCTCCAGGTTACCATCGCCAATGAACACAATTTGACCTCCAGGTTACCATTGCCAATGAACACAATTTGACCTCCAGGTTACCATCACCAATGAACACAATTTGACTACCAGGTTACCATCGCCAATGAACACAATTTGACCTCCAGGTTACCATCGCCAATGAACACAATTTGACCTCCAGGTTACCATCGCCAATGAACACAATTTGACCTCCAGGTTACCATCGCCAATGAACACAATTTGACTACCAGGTTACCATCGCCAATGAACACAATTTGACTACGAGGTTAACATCGTCAATGAACACAATTTGACTACGAGGTTACCATCGTCAATGAACACAATTTGACTACCAGGTTACCATCGCCATTGAACAAAATTTGACTACCAGGTTACCATCGCCAATTACCACAATTTTATTACCAGGTTACCATCGCAAATTAACACAATTTTACCTCCAGGTTACCATTGCCAATGAACACAATTTGACTACCAGGTTACCATGGCCAATGAACACAATTTTACCTCCAGGTTACCATCGCCAATTAACACAATCTGACTACCAGGTTACCATACTTTCACCTCCGACCGTACGCGGGCACGTGGGAGGGGATCACGTGGGAGGGGGTCACGTGGGGACGAGTCACGTGGGGACGATGCATCACGTGCAACGATTGTTCTCCCTTGACGTCAGATTACAAAGACAAATGTACCCCCACTCCTGGATTGCCTCAACAGACTGTAGGGGCAAGTGCTGTGCCCCTATGAAGGCCGGCACGGCACACGAGGGCGTGGGTGGCCAGCACCTCGCCCGGCCGCCTTTGTCTCCCCAGTGGCGCTGTTTACACACCGCACCGGGTGCTCATTTGAGGCTGAGTCGACCTAGGGGAGGCACAGGACCGGTTCACATAAATCGCTGTCACTGGTGTTGGCCGTGAACGGGAAACTCGGAGCAAGAGGGTGGGGAGGGGGTGAGGAGGGAGGGTGAGGAGGGGGAGGGGAGGGTGAGGAGGGGAGGGGAGGGTGAGGAGGGGGAGGGTGAGGAGGGGGGGGAGCTGTGGGTCGCATCTGTTCCATCTGTCGATGTCTGCCGCGCGTGCCAGTGTCACGCCGTCTGGGTGAGTGCTGTGGGGAGGGGAGCGGTGGCGCAGTGGTTAGCGCACTGCGCTACCAACCCGACCACCAGAGATCGATTCCCGCTCACCGCGTCCCACATCGGTGACGAGCATTTGAACCGGTCCTGGGCCTCCGCTAGGTTGACTCGGCCCTCAAAACCTAATCCAGTACGCACACATACCAAAGACAAAGACAAAGTTCCCCCGCATAGCCTGTAACAGACTGTAACAGACTGTAGGGGCAAGTGCTGTTAGCGAGCAGCACCTATGAAGGCCGGAACGGCACACGAAGGGGTGGGTGGCCAGCACCACGCCCTGCCGCCTTTGTCTCCCCAGTGGCGATGTTTACACACCGCGCCAGATACTCATTTGAGGCTGAGTCGACCTAGGGGAGGCCCAGGACCGGTTTAGATAATCGTCCCTGGTGATGGTGGCCGTGAGCGGGAATCGAACTCGGGTTGCCGGCTTCAAACCGCAGTGCGTTAACCACCACCACCCTCTCCTCCCACCCTCCCCCCCTTCTCTCCCCTCTCCCATCTCCCATCTCCCATCCCCCTCTCCCCCACCCCCGCCAGTCCACCTCCTGATAAAGCAGGACAACAATACGTATACTACTAGTCTGACGTTTCGGGCAATGTCCCTTCATCGGATTGGAGAGGACAGAGAAAACATTGGCCCGCTTTGTGCGTTGTAGATTGCAATGGGCAAATTGAGATGTGTAAATGCATACTCTCTGGTTCTTTCGGTAAAGTCGCGTCGGCTAGAAAAATAAAATAAATCACGACGCATCGTCTGCTTTCACACCTGATGACGGACGCTTGTGTTGCGCCCGAAACGACGTGATTTGTTTGATTTTTCTACCCACGTGACTTTACCGAAAGAGCCAACGAGTATGGATTCTTGCAGTCACGAAAGCTTCAAATCAAGAATATTTAAATGCATATTTATTTATTTATAAATACGTGCAGTTACCTGTGTATTTATTTATTTATTTACTCTCCCTCCCTCCCCCAATTGGTCGAACTCTGGCAGGCTCTCGCAGCCCGCGGAACTGGATATCACAGAGCCACCTCCCAGTGTGGTGGCGGTGCCCGTGGTGGTAGTCGCAGTGCTGGGTGTGTCGGTTGTCATGGTGGTGGTAGTTGGTGGTGGTGGTGATGATGGTTGTGGTGGTGGTATTTGTAGTGGTGGTGGTGGTTATGATGGTTGTGGAAGTGGTGGTGGTATTTGTAGTGGTAGTTGTGGTGGTGGTTATGATGGTTGTGGTAGTGGTGGTGGTATTTGTAGGGGTAGTTGTGATGGTGGTTATGATGGTTGTGGTAGTCGTGGTGATATTTGTAGTGGTAGTTGTGGTGGTTACGGTAGTGGTAGTTTGTAGTGTGGTGGTGGGTCTAGTGGTGGTATTTGTCGTAGTGGTGGTTGTTGTTGTGGTAGCGGTGGTGATGGTTGTGGTATTTGTTGTTGTGGTATTGGTATTTGTGGTGGTGATTATGGTATTTGTGGTGGTGGTGGTGGTGGTGGCGGTGGCGCTGGTGATGGTTGTGGTATTTGTTGTTGTGGTAGTGGTATTTGTGGTGATGGCGGTGGTGGTGGCGCTGGTGATGGTTGTGGTATTTGTGGTGGTGGTGGTGGTTGTGGTGGTTGTTGAGCGGTGGGCGGGGGTCTGTTGGTGTCACATTAAATCTGCGGGATTATATCTCTCCCAGCCCCTGTGGCGACATAAACCCGTTCCTCTGGTTCGTCCCACCCACACACCCACCCCATCGTCCCTCCCACCCACACACCATCACCAACATCACCACCACCACCATCATCATCATCTATTCAAACGGCAGCAGCAGCAGCACCAGCAGCGTCGCCATCACCTGCATCATCGACGTCGACATCTATAACACCAGCAGCGCCATCATCACCATCATCACCATCATCATCGCCTGCATCGCCATCAACTGCATCACCATCACCATCATCACCATCATCACCACCATCACCACCATCGCTATCTCCACGCCAGCGAGCCGTCGCAGAGGCAGCAGCGAGGGTTTATGGATCTCGCACAGATGCCGTGGTGCCCCATTGGCGAACGTCGAGGCGGTACTACAGCAAAGTGTGTGGACTAATCTCCATCTGTCCCATCTCACGCCCTTCCTGCCGTCTCTGGCCTGAGACGAGGCCATGCACAAGGCTCTCCTTAATTACACCGGTCAACACACTTTTTCTGGCATAAGGTATTCCAACGGTTTTAAAGTATTTTGGGGTGCTGATTCCAAATCTGGCTTCAGTTTTTGTCTATCACATCAGGGTTTTGAGATATCAAATATTGCATTTTCAATCAAAACTGCAGAAGAAAAATATTAAATAAATGTGGATATCTACATAAAATTATATTATAAACACACTATCCTAAAAATACAGCACCATATGTTAACACTAAAGCAGTCACTGATTCGCAACAACTTGCAATCATAAGTGACGGAGTTAATTTTGGGTAAAATCAATGAAAATGGGGTATGCCGATAGCATAAAAATGAGATGTGATAGAGCAAATCTGAGATCAGATTTGGAATCAGCACCCTGAAATTAGCCTAAAACAGCTACAAAAGTCCAGGTCAGAAATGTTTTTTTTTTGTTGACCAGTGTTATGAGAACATGCACGTTCACCACACGAACTCTGTGTGTGGTTCATGTTGACTTCATTTCTTGCAGAAGGTTTCTATTTTCAAGGCGCATGTTCACCACTACGACGTGTGGCTAATGCAGCGGCATGATCCCTTGCGAAGGGTTTCCGTTTGGTGTTTTCACATCTTAACACGACTGCTGTTTTATTGACAGAGAGGGTAAAACCTCGTCTTGTATTCTGATACTGGCAAGGACGGTCCCGTGATCTATTTGGTGTTTTGAACATCCTCGCACAGAAAGGGTAAAATCTGTTCTTATTTTAAATTATTGGAAAGTGGCCAAACGGTCCCATGGCAATCTCCATCTGTTCCATCTGGAGGGGGATCGAGTGTTGCCCCCCCCTCCGCCACCACCCCCTCGCAGGTGTTGGGGGGGGGGGGTCTCCTCCCACGTGGTATCAACGCGCTCGTTCGTGGAGTTGTCTAAACGTCCCAATGTAGGACCGCAGAGCTTGGGGCAACTGTTAGCGGCCTCCTGGGCACTTTGCCTGATGTCTCCCCGGGCCTCCCAGTGACACGGAGATCGGTTCCAGCGTGGTACGAATCGGAGCGACTCAAATCGGAGCGACTCAAATCGGAGCGACTCAAGTCGGAGCGACTCAAGTCGGAGCGACTCAAATTGGAGCGACTCAAATCGGAGCGACTCAAATCAGAGCGACTCAAATCGGAGCGACTCAAATTGGAGCGACTCAAATCGGAGCGACTCAAGTCGGAGCGACTCAAATCGGAGCGACTCAAATTGGAGCGACTCAAATCGGAGCGACTCAAATCAGAGCGACTCAAATCGGAGCGACTCAAATTGGAGCGACTCAAATCGGAGCGACTCAAGTCGGAGCGACTCAAATCGGAGCGACTCAAATTGGAGCGACTCAAATCGGAGCGACTCAAATCGGAGCGACTCAAATCGGAGCGACTCAAATCAGAGCGACTCAAATCAGAGCGACTCAAATCAGAGCGACTCAAATCGGAGCGACTCAAGTTGGAGCGACTCAAATTGGAGCGACTCAAATCAGAGCGACTCAAGTCGGAGCGACTCAAGTCAGAGCGACTCAAATCGGAGCGACTCAAATCGGAGCGACTCAAATCAGAGCGACTCAAATCAGAGCGACTCAAATCGGAGCGACTCAAATCGGAGCGACTCAAGTCGGAGCGACTCAAATCGGAGCGACTCAAATTGGAGCGACTCAAATCGGAGCGACTCAAATCGGAGCGACTCAAATCAGAGCGACTCAAATCAGAGCGACTCAAATCGGAGCGACTCAAATTGGAGCGACTCAAATCAGAGCGACTCAAGTCGGAGCGACTCAAGTCAGAGCGACTCAAATCGGAGCGACTCAAATCAGAGCGACTCAAATCGGAGCGACTCAAATCAGAGCGACTCAAATCAGAGCGACTCAAATCAGAGCGACTCAAATCGGAGCGACTCAAGTCGGAGCGACTCAAATTGGAGCGACTCAAATCAGAGCGACTCAAATCGGAGCGACTCAAATCAGAGCGACTCAAATCAGAGCGACTCAAATCGGAGCGACTCAAGTCGGAGCGACTCAAATTGGAGCGACTCAAATCGGAGCGACTCAAGTCGGAGCGACTCAAATTGGAGCGACTCAAATCAGAGCGACTCAAATCAGAGCGACTCAAATCAGAGCGACTCAAATTGGAGCGACTCAAATCAGAGCGACTCAAATCAGAGCGACTCAAATCGGAGCGACTCAAATCAGAGCGACTCAAATCAGAGCGACTCAAATCGGAGCGACTCAAGTCGGAGCGACTCAAATTGGAGCGACTCAAATCAGAGCGACTCAAATCAGAGCGACTCAAATCGGAGCGACTCAAATCGGATCATTCTCAGTCCACTGCTGTGTGAGCCATGGGGGAGGGGTGTTGTAGTTGTTGTGATAGCCATACTTCACCTCGCTGGTCAGCGCGGGTTGGTGAGAGGGAGGAGGGCATAGATGGGATGTGGCATCACCACAACAGCAACCATCACCAACACCATCATCAGGACCATCACCATCATCAGGACCATCACCATCATCAGGTCCATCACCAACACCATCATCAGGTCCATCACCATCATCAGGACCATCACCATCATCACTAACATCACCAACACCATCATCAGGACCATCACCAACACCATCATCAGGTCCATCACCATCACCATCATCAGGTTCATCACCATCATCAGTACCATCACCAACACCATCATCAGTACCATCACCATCATCAGGACCAACACCATCACCAACACCATCATCAGGTCCATCACCATCACCAACACCATCATCAGGTCCATCACCATCATCAGTGCCATCACCATCATCAGTACCATCACCAACACCATCATCAGTACCATCACCATCATCAGGACCATCACCAACACCATCACCATCATCACTAACATCACCAACACCATCATCAGGACCATCACCAACACCATCACCAACACTATCATCAGGTCCATCACCATCACCAACACCATCATCAGGTCCATCACCATCATCAGTGCCATCACCATCATCAGTACCATCACCAACACAATCATCAGTACCATCACCGTCATCAGTACCATCACCAGCACCAACAACATCAACAACAACCCGCACCATCACATCCACCAGCGCCGCGACCATCACCAACACCATCCACCTTCCTCTCCCACACAATTAACCCTCTCTCGTAATAAGAGCTCCAACATCTAACACCCCCCCACACACACTCCCACAGCCCCTCCCCCCACAGCCCCCCCCCCCACCCCCCACAGCCCCCACAGCCCCGCCCCTCGCTCCCCTCGTCCAAACTTGATCCGTGCACCGCTCTCTCGGCCGAGCCGATAATGAGCGGGTAGCGAGTCGGACTCACGTCACCCGCCCCCTCCTCACATCCTCCTCCTTCTTTGTGTGTGTCTCTCTCTCTGTGTCTGTCTGTCTGTGTTGTGTCTCTCTCTCTGTCTGTCTTGTGTCTCTCTCTCTCTCTCTGTCTCTCTGTGTTGTGTCTGTCTCTCTCTCTGTCTCTCTGGGGTGTCTCTCTGTCTGTGTTGTGTCTCTCTCTCTGTCTGTCTTGTGTCTCTCTCTCTCTCTGTCTGTCTGTGTTGTGTCTGTCTCTCTCTGTCTCTCTGGGGTGTCTCTCTGTCTGTGTTGTGTCTGTCTCTCTGTCTGTCTTGTGTCTCTCTCTCTCTGTCTGTCTCTCTGTGTTGTGTCTGTCTCTCTCTCTCTGTCTCTCTGGGGTGTCTCTCTGTCTGTGTTGTGTCTGTCTGTCTTTCTGTCTCTCTGGGGTGCCTCTATGTCTGTGTTGTCTCTCTATGTCTCTCTGGGGTATCTCTCTGTGTTGTGTCTGTCTGTCTCTCTGTCTCTCTGGGGTGTCTCTCTGTCTGTGTTGTCTCTCTATGTCTCTCTGGGGTATCTCTCTGTGTTGTGTCTGTCTGTCTCTCTGTCTCTCTGGGGTGTCTCTCTGTCTGTGTTGTCTCTCTATGTCTCTCTGGGGTATTTCTCTGTGTTGTGTCTCTCTGTCTGTCTTGTGTCTCTCTGGGGTGTCTCTCTGTCTCTGTGTTGTGTCTCTCTCTGTCTCTCTCTCTGTCGTGTTGCTCTCTGGGGTGTCTCTCTGTGTTGTCTCTCTGTGTTGTGTCTATCTCTCTCTTTCTGTCTTGTGTCTCTCTGGGGTGTCTCTCTGTCTCTGTGTTGTATCTCTCTCTGTCTGTGTTGTGTCTCTCTATGGTATCCCTCTCTCTTTGGTGTCTCTGTGGTGTGTCTTTCCCTGCAGAGTCTCTCTCTGTGGTGTGTCTCCCTGCGGAGTCTCTCTCTGTGGTCTCTCTCTCCCTGCGGAGTCTCGACTTGCCCCGACTCCTCTCAGAGCCGCTTAGATCGAGAGCGCGACACAGCACACAGACAAAGATCCCACGCGTAGCCTCCGACAGACCTGCGGGGCAAGTGCCGTCAGCGAGTAGAAACCCACTGAGGCCCGAGCAGCGCACGAGGGGTTGGTGGCCAGCACCACGCCCGGCCGCCTTTGTCTCTCCACCGGCGCCGATGTCTACAAAACGGCACCCGGTACTCATTTAAGGCCGAGTCGACCTAGGGGGAGGATCCGAGAGGGGTCGCGCACGCGGTCTGCGATGCAGATGAGGCCGGGACATTCCTGTGGCGAGGAGCGATCACGAGGGGGGGGGGGGTCGAGGGTGTTAACGTGGGGGGGGGGGGGGGGGTTCGGTTAATGTGGGGGGTTTGAAGGGGTTAATGTTGGAGGGGGTTAATGTTGGGGGGGTTCGATGGGGTTAATGTCGGGGGCGCTCAGAGCACAGTTGACGGGGAGTAAATGCAACGCGCTAATCCGTGCATGTATGTTTGTTGAACTTCCTTCGCACCGTACGTGGCCAACGCGTGCTCGTCGGAGGGTGCGCGCGCGGCGGGGGGGGGGGGTAACAAACAAACTAAACGCAGCAACAACAACAGCAACAGCAACAACAGCAGCAACAACAACAGCAACAACAACAAGCAGATCGTCTTCCATCGCGTTCATTCGAAAGCGGGCACAGCTCCCGGCGGCGTGGTGGAGAGGAACGTTCCAGACGGCCGCAGCAGCGGCACCTTTGGAGGTGCCGCGCGATGCGGGCGACCTCCGCCCTCTCTGTTCGACGTTTCGCACCATCATGAGTGGAGTCAACGTGACGGTGTTTTTACGACTCCTCGATGAGGTGGACAGCGACGGTGTCGTTGTGGTCGATTTGTGGCCCAGCGCCTTGTGGGTAGCGGGTGAACAGGGGTTTGTGAACAGGGTTTGAGAACAGGGTTTGTGAACAGGGTTTGTGAACAGGGTTGTGAACAGGGTTTGTGAACAGGGTTTGAGAACAGGGTTTGTGAACAGGGTTGTGAACAGGGGTTGTGAACAGGGTTGTGAACAGGGTTGTGAACAGGGTTGTGAACAGGGTTTGTGAACAGGGTTGTGAACAGGGTTTGTGAACAGGGTTGTGAACAGGGTTTGAGAACAGGGTTGTGAACAGGGTTTGAGAACAGGGTCTGTGAACAGGGTCTGTGAACAGGGTTTGTGAACAGGGGTTGTGAACAGGGGTTGTGAACAGGGGTTGTGAACAGGGTCTGTGAACAGGGTTTGTGAACAGGGGTTGTGAACAGGGTTGTGAACAGGGTTGTGAACAGGGTTTGTGAACAGGGGTTGTGAACAGGGTTGTGAACAGGGTTGTGAACAGGGTTGTGAACAGGGTTGTGAACAGGGTTGTGAACAGGGTTGTGAACAGGGTTGTGAACAGGGTTGTGAACAGGGTTGTGAACAGGGTTGTGAACAGGGGTTGTGAACAGGGTTGTGAACAGGGTTGTGAACAGGGTTTGTGAACAGGGGTTGTGAACAGGGGTTGTGAACAGGGGTTGTGAACAGGGTTGTGAACAGGGGTGTGGAACAGGGGTTGTGAACAGGGTTGTGAACAGGGTTGTGAACAGGGTTGTGAACAGGGTTGTGAACAGGGTTGTGAACAGGGGTTGTGAACAGGGGTGTGAACAGGGGTTGTGAACAGGGTTGTGAACAGGGTTGTGAACAGGGGTGTGAACAGGGTTGTGAACAGGGTTGTGAACAGGGGTTGTGAACAGGGGTTGTGAACAGGGTTGTGAACAGGGGTTTGTAACAGGGTTTGTGAACAGGGTTGTGAACAGGGTTGTGAACAGGGTTGTGAACAGGGTTGTGAACAGGGGTGTGAACAGGGGTTGTGAACAGGGTTGTGAACAGGGTTGTGAACAGGGGTGTGAACAGGGTTGTGAACAGGGTTGTGAACAGGGGTTGTGAACAGGGTTGTGAACAGGGGTGTGAACAGGGTTGTGAACAGGGTTTGTGAACAGGGTTGTGAACAGGGTTTGTGAACAGGGTTGTGAACAGGGTTGTGAACAGGGGTGTGAACAGGGGTTGTGAACAGGGTTTGTGAACAGGGTTGTGAACAGGGTTGTGAACAGGGTTGTGAACAGGGTTGTGAACAGGGGTGTGAACAGGGGTTGTGAACAGGGTTTGTGAACAGGGGTGTGAACAGGGGTTGTGAACAGGGTTTGTGAACAGGGTTGTGAACAGGGGTGTGAACAGGGTTTGTGAACAGGGTTGTGAACAGGGGTTGTGACCGGGTTGTGAACAGGGTTGTGAACAGGGTTGTGAACAGGGTTGTGAACAGGGGTTGTGAACAGGGTTGTGAACAGGGTTGTGAACAGGGTTGTGAACAGGGGGTTGTGAACAGGGGTTGTTGAACAGGGTTGTGAACAGGGTTGTGAACAGGGGTTGTGAACAGGGTTGTGAACAGGGTTGTGGAACAGGGTGTGAACAGGGTTGGTGAACAGGGTTGTGAACAGGGGTTGTGAACAGGGGGTGAACAGGGTTGTGAACAGGGTTGTGAACAGGGGTTGTGACAGGGGTTGTGAACAGGTTGTGAACAGGGTTTGTGAACAGGGGTTGTGAACAGGGGTTGTGAACAGGGGTTGTGAACAGGGTTTGTGAACAGGGTTGTGAACAGGGTTGTGAACAGGGGTTGTGAACAGGGTTTGTGAACAGGGTTTGTGAACAGGGTTGTGCACAGGGTTGTGAACAGGGTTGTGAACAGGGGTTGTGAACAGGGTTGTGAACAGGGTTGTGAACAGGTTTGTGAACAGGGTTGTGAACAGGTTTGTGAACAGGGGTTGTGAACAGGGTTGTGAACAGGGTTGTGAACAGGGTTGTGAACAGGGTTGTGTGAACAGGGTTGTGAACAGGTTTGTGAACAGGGTTGTGAACAGGGTTTGTGAACAGGGTTGTGAACAGGGTTGTGAACAGGTTGTGAACAGGGGTTGAACAGGGTTGTGAACAGGGTTGTGAACAGGGGGTGTGAACAGGGGTTGTGAACAG